AATCACATTTTGTCAGTGGATTCTTGATAGAACTGATAATAATAGTGAGTTTTTAAGTAACGTTTTATGGACCGATGAGTCATGCTTCACTAGACGTGGAGTGGTAAATTTTCATAATCAACATATTTGGTCGCATGAAAATCCGCATGCAGTTTGGAAAAGAAATGTTCAGCATGAATTTAGTATGAACATGTGGATCGGTATCTACCGTAATCGACTATTTGGACCCTACCTTTTGCCTGCAAGGTTAAATGCTGCGACCTTCTTGGAATTTTTAAAGGCTGAACATGCAAATATGTGGGATGATGTAAGGTTAGATTTAAGAAGATTGGCCTGGTTTCACCTTGATGGTTGTCCAGCTCATTATTCGAGAATAGTTAGAAACTGGCTGGACGAAAATTATCCAGATGGATCGGCCGTGGAGGACCAGTCGCCTGGCCTCCAAGATCCCCTGACCTAAATCCATTAGATTTCTTTGTGTGGGGATTTCTAAAAGAAAAAGTGTACCAGACTCCCGTAACCACAAGAGATATGCTAATAGACAGAATCAGGAATGCAGGTGATGAAATAAGGCCTTATTTGAATAATGCTATACCACGTTCGATCATTCGTAGATGTGAATTGTGTATTGAACAATTGGGTTTACATTTCGAGCAACTACTTTAGATTTTGTATGTTTGTCCTAACTATCCAATAGCATTTTAGTTGTAAATAATTAATTTAATTTGTTAAAAATAATATTGGAAAATTAAACAAATTAATATTCTGTTTTTTGTGTTTATTTGGAGTTAGGAATTATTGCTGTGTTTAAAAACACAATCTAAACGATCATCTTAATTACTTGTAATGCCCAAATCGAAAATGTAAAAAAACATATTATTTTCCCATTAATAATTAAAAATGCATCGAACCTTAAAAAACGAAATATCTCAAAAACGGCTAACTATAACGAAAACTCACAGAAGAGCTTTTTTATGTTGAAAAGTGCGAAGAATCAGTTTTTTTATTTAAAAAGCAAAAAAGTGCACTAAGGAAAAATTTTCGGTCATTTTAATACACTACAGGTACAGTAGAGAGCGCCCTCTAGCAGCTACAGTAAAACTATGCCCATGGTTCATTTTGTCGTACCAAAAAACCCTTGCCTACCAATTTTCACTGTTATACATCAAATATTGTTCGAAATATTTAAAAAAAACTATTTTAAAAAGTAAATTTAAACACCCTGTATTTCGGAAACCACGCATTTTTCAACCCATGTTTATATAGACTTTATGCATTAAATGTAAAAGTTTTATCAAATCTTAAAGTTATGCAACAATAAACTGAAACACCCTGTATAATAAAAAATTTTTTTGGAGAATGCTGAATATTCATTACATTTTTACATCGAAATAAACTGTTACATCTACTCACATTTTAAAATAATATCAACTATATGCAGATTGTAGTGAATGGAACTAAGCCACACTACCTAATAGTTATATAGAAATAAATATTTATTTTCCATTGATATGGTAAAGCATAATCCTAAAATGAAACTGGCCAAAAAATGTTTTGTTTCTTCTGTTAATTATTATTCTAGAGAAAAAAACAACGATTTTAACGATATTAAAATCGCGCCAGCTCGGAAGTTTGTCTATGTCGGTTAGAACCCTTCACGCCCAAGACGACGATATTGGGATCTGTTGGACAAGTAGCTCTTTATTAGTGGGTGAGTAGTTCCCTGAGACCTATACTTTCCAGCACTCTCAGAAGCGTTTTCTCGACTGGCGAAATCTATGAATACACATATAATTTTACGATTTCAATTTAGGACAATTTAGAAAATAAATAATGCATAACTCAAAAACCATAATCAGAACTCATAAGGCTCCCATATGTCCCAACCGAACGAAACATATGCCTAGAAAATATTTCTAATACATTCATTACCACTGGGTTTTTTCTCTGTCACTCACTACACCATTTCAATACAACGCTGCAAAAGCTCCCAGTTTCGTTTCACATTCCCATAAACATCTGCACTGCCATGAATAACCCATAACAGTACTGACCCATTAAAATCACCTTAATAACGCTCTTCTATTGTGTGTGTCAGAATGACCGCTCTGGAAAGTCGTAAACTACTTTATAGACTGCACTCTAGAATGGAATATCTTCTCATGGCGAGACGCACTCCGTTGTTTTTATATATCTGTATCTGGTATTTTATAAATTATAAATGAGGAATGCAGCGGCATACACTAACGGTCGTTGATAAAATCCTGAAATAAAATGTGAAAAATTTATGATCTGTAACCTTGTTATGGCTGGAAATAAAAGCGGCGTTTATCATCGAGTAGAAATGCATCTAGAGTGGCTCATCACTGAATTACAGCAGCCGTAAAACGTGTTGCAATCCAGGAAATATAGACATGGAAAGCGTACACATTTAAGTGTTAAGTTTTGCATGTAACCGTACGCAACGATAGCCCTACGTGACCTTCAGAACTGTAGTGAGATGCGCATTTCCGAGTCGGTCAAGGGGCATGTCTTCAGTTTCCTCTTCTATGCTTCCTCCAGCAAAAAAAAGAGGAGAAGCATGAAGCTCCTAGTGTTGGGCAGACCGGATCTACACTAAATGACATAGAAAATGCAACACCTACTATACTACAACTATTTAAAACTGTAATGACTCATACGCGTGATCAACACGTGATCAGAGCTCGATCCCGGCTTCCTTCCAGTCCAGTATAGCGTACGACATATGTCGTTTCTGTGGCTTTGCGGTGGTCAACAGCACAGACAGAGATGGAAATAATGGCTGATTGTTCTCCGCCGGTAGAACCAAAGAAATCAAAGACGCGCCTCGACCGGCAGAGTCACAGGCGTCGGCAACGCATTGGAACGTGTTTCGTTGAGCGATCGCGTATTGTGTGTTTTTATAAGAATTGTTGTGTGAGTGTTATTGTTGTGGTTTCTGTGGTTACTGTTTTGGTTATACTTAACCATGGAGAGTACAAATGGCACGAGTGGAAGTACTGAAAGCCAGAGAACAAGTAGACGGCTTCGTAAAGCACTGAAGAGGGACGCGAAAGAAATCGTGCTCAATACATATATTCATTCTTCTTTAGGAATGAGATACCAACCCTCAAGGCTGTACATGCAGCGATCAAGGAAAATGAAATCATACCCCAAATGAGCGTCGAGGTAATGAGGAAATCCCTGTACGAAATTAATTTTTGTTACGAAACGCGTAATAGGAAGTCAGTATTGATAGAGAGACCTGAAATAGTCGCCTAGCGTCGAAAATACCTACGCGAAATGATTGAATATAGGCGACAAAGCAGAAAAATCTGTTATTTGGACGAGACATGGGTAAATGCAGGTCACACAGTTAAAAAAAACCTGGATAGACAAAAACGTAGTGAGTAACCGACAAGCAAGCATTAAAGGTTTGTCAATAGGTCTTCGTGGACCGTCAGGGAAAGGTCAAAGATTGATCGTAACTCATATTGGTAGCGATAGTGGCTTTTTAGAAGAGTGTGACTTGATTTTCGTCTCTAAGAAAGGAGGTGATTACCATGACGAAATGAATGCTAGCTGCTTCGAGAGCTGGTTTCAAGGGGTGCTTCAGCGAGTTGAGCCCAACTCTGTGATCGTCATGGATAATGCTTCCTACCATAGTCGTCGAGCCGAACGTGTACCGACTATGGGATCTCGAAAAAGTGACATGCAGCAATGGTTGCGCGAAAAAGGAATCCCGTTTGACGATTCATGTGTGAAAGCGGAATTGTATGAAAAAATTAAACAGCACAGACCTGCGAACATTAGTTACGTGACTGATGAGATGGCCCGTCAATGTGGTGTGACTGTGCTGCGGTTACCGCCCTACCACTGTGAACTGAACCCAATAGAGCTCATCTGGGCTCAAGTGAAGGGTTATATTGCGCGCCATAAAACAACCTTCAAATTACCAGACGTTAAGGCTTTACTTGAGACTTCCATACAGCTAGTAACGCCCGAAGCTTGGCAGAATGCTATCCGTCATGTTGTGAAGGAAGAAACAAAAATGTGGCAGCTTGACCACCACATCGACACCATCATAGAACCAGTTATAGTCAATTTCACCGAGGAAAGCGATAGCGACACTTTATTACTGTCAGATGTAAGTGGAAGCGACGATGAATAAAGGTAATTCCCAAATGACTTACAATATGTTTCAAACCACTCTTTATTAAGCATGTGACAAATCTAGTTCGCCCATAATAAACATTCATACCCCGCCTATGAACAGCCGACTACTGGTAGTTAAGTTGATGTTCACGTGAACATCGATGAGTCATTACAGTTTTAGATAGTTATAGTATAGGAGTGCTGTGATTTTGAGCATACTTTTGGTGCCTCATTTTTTATTTAGATTTAGTGTTGATGCTGATAATGAAAAGGTATTCGAATAAAAACACTTTTTTTTTTATACTCCAACTACCACGAAGGCCTAAGGCCTAAACACCCATTGGGTACCGTGGGGCTATAGGGGGATACAGGGGAAAGGGGAACGCCACACGGACTCTGGCGAGGGAACACGTGTGCATGCAACATGCACACATTCTGGCTCCGCCTACGAGATCCGCCGGGTGGTACCTCCACGTTCGACAGTCAGAGACCGTCTACCACCTACGGAGTAGCACAACATCCATAGCCAAGAGAAAAATTTCTCCTGGGACGGGACTCGAACCCGCACAGCGCACGGCGACTGATCAGGAGACCGAAGAGTCTACTACTGCGGCCACCGCTGCTGCCTGGTGAAATCCAATGTTATACAAGGCGCATAGTGAACAATGACTCAGATTGGTGCCTTTTTATGTATAATTTATTTTTTTTTATAAATGACCTTTGATCTGCATTTAAAGTTGGAAAATGGAATATAATGATTCTGATACATATAAAATTAATTTAAAATCAGTTATGGAATGTTGTGAATTTCCAGATTGACGTCTGTGTTTGGAAAACCGGAAACCTCAAATTTTAACCCACAAAAAATAAGACTCATATAACACACTCTGTATATTGAAATTAAATTAATTTCGTGGGACGCTATGAAATAACTGATTCTAAAACTAGGCAGTAGACAAAATAAGTTCGAGAACATCTGCTATAAATTATCGCTAACGGGACGTTAAAGCTTGCGTTCAGCGTCCCTATACAGGGTATACAAGATAAAGATCCTATGCATGGGGATCTCATTACCAGCTTAGGAAAAATTAGGAAAAAGGAAGAAACTTGTAAAAATTTCATGGTTTACGAGGTATTGGAGAAAAACTAAAAGTTGGACAAATCGTTTTTATTTTTCTCTGATTATATTTTATTGTTCTTATATTTTGTGCCCGACCATCGTCAACTTTATTTTTTTATACGGTCCGAAAAAAGAAAACCCTGTATTTAATAGCAATTTTGAAGGCCTCTAAAAAAATGGACTTACTTGGTTGCCTTCTTTAGGGACATTTATCAAGATTTCTGCAGTATTTTCAGTATTTTTGTAGCACAAAATGTAGCACGTCAGCATGTCGAACTTTTCTTGATTACTAAAATGATCGCCTGGCATCTTTGGTTACGAGGGATGTCTTTTAAGTTTTGCATATGGAAATAAAACAATACGGTAGGTAGTTTTAAATGACTTTATTGTTTTTAGAAGTATTCTCCACGGAGATTAATACACATCTGCATTCGAACCAATTTTCGAAGCACTTATTCCACTCGTTTGCTGGCAGATCCAAAACGGCATTTTTGAATGCGTCAACTGCTTCTTCTGGTGACTGGAACCTTTGACCACGCAGTCTGTTTTTAATTTTCGGGAAAGTAAAGAAATCGTTAGGACTTAGATCGGGACTATAGGGAGGATGGTCCAATAATTCCACGTTTTCTCCCGTTGAATACTGCCTTGTTTTTTGGGCTGTGTGCGAGCTTGCATTGTCTTGGTGGAGGATGATTCTTCTTTCGGGGTTGATTTTTCGAAGCTCGGAGATGACTTTTGGCAAACAAATGGTGGTATACCAATCCGCAGTAACAGTTCTTTGCTCATTAAGAGGAATTGTTGCAATATGACCCGCTTTTGACACAAATGTCGCGACCATCTTTTTCGAAACACTTCAAGAACGGATGACTTTTGTTGGATTTTCTTCACCTTGGAACACCCAAACAGCCGACTGTCGTTTATTTTCTGGTTCATAACAGTAAATCCACGATTTCACACCAATTAACTCTGGCTGCTTTCTGCTCTTCAGTCAACAGGTGGGGTATCCGAAGAGAAACTAATTTTCTTACTCCTAATTCTTCATGTAAAATTTTTTGAATTGAGGTCTTTGAGATCTTCAAGGACGCCTCAATCTCGCGATATGTCACATGTCTATCTTCAATGATGTGCACAGCATCGACGTTTTTCTGAGTGACTGCCGTTTTTGGAGCACCCACCCTGGGATCGTCGCTAAGACTCACCCGTCAACGTTTGAATTCTCCATACCAACGGGAAATTGTCGACTGACGTGGCGCTCCGTTGCCGAAAACAGACAGTAACTCGGCAAGGAATTCTTGTTGCGATAATTGTCTCTGAAAGTTGTAATAAATTATGGCGCGAAAATATTCTCGGTTGAGTTCAATTTTTCTAATGACTTGGTAACACTTAAAAATTCACTGTAGCGAGAACACTTCACGTATTGTTGTGAAACTTTGAATTTTTGTTTACCAAAGAGTGAGGTTAAGATTCAGTACTGACGTTCGATCCGCGCGGCCTACTATGTTTCTATATGCAAAACTTAAAACTCAGCCCTCGTATAATAAAGCAATATTAACAATACACAATAATAACAATACTCGGTGACAGGTATTTACGTCAAGTAAAATTGTTTGCAACGTCTACTTGAAAAAAAATAAACCAAGATAATAAATGTAACATGTGATACATCGTTTAATTCGTATAAAAATGCTATTAGGTACAGCGTGTATACTTTATCTGAAGTCACTTGAAACACTGTGAAATACCGGGTGCGTTTTATATATCTATATTTAACACGCTCTGTTGCTGCAAAAATCGCCAAATTTCGCAGCAAATATCCCCCGTATAAGATCAAAGGCAGTTTCACCGGTCCACGTGGAGTAAAGCACGCCTATGCGTGGACATAGCCAATGAGAAAGCGTGTATTTCAGAGCTCCGAACAAGTGCAGGTGGCTACTGAAAATTGAAACAGTTTAGCCAGTGCCGTGTAGCGGTGAATAAACGTGTTTTCTTTAGTCTGTCCGTGTTTTTTCATAGATTTTATTAGTTTGTGTGTTTTTGACTTTTGAATACTCAGTTTACTTGTTGATTTAATTGTTGTGTTGATTGTTCTTGTGTGTCCTAAATATGGCTCTTTGGAGACCTTGGGAAAATGCTCCAAGCCACGAGGAGATGATTGATGAACCTGTGCAGGCAGAATTCTTTCATAAAGATTTAGAGGAACAGACCCAAAGAGTAATCCCAAATATGTATGATTGTCTGAAAAACGAAAATCCAGATTCCTCGCAAAATCAAATTTTAAACAGAATTTGTATCCTGACAAAAATCAGTCGTTCTACCATTTATCGGGTTATAAAAAGGGGAGATGTAGTCAACCATTCCTTCCACAGAAAGCGCATAGGGCAAAAATGAAAAAGAATAGACGTGGGTTTTCAGGAAGATATTCGTCGTATAATATACGGATTTTATAAAGAAAATTTGGTGCCCACGTTGGAAATGATACGGGATAAATTAAAAGATTATCCTGAAGATTTTTATAATTACAAATGCTTAGACTCACTGCACTGCATTGTAAAACTGTGTGGTTTTCAATACAAAAAATTAGATAAAAGAATGGTGATTATGGAGTCGTCTCGAATCGTTGAATTGCGCCAAGAATTTTTGCACAAAGTTAAAATCTATAGAGAGCAGAAAAGAAATCTGATTTACCTAGATGAAACGTGGTATAATACCCATGATGTTGTGCAGTACGGCTGGGTTGACGACAGCAACAAGTGCATTTTAAATGCACCATGCAACCGTGGAAAACGAATCATTATTCTCCATGCTGGCAGTGAAAATGGATTTATACCTAATGCCTTGCTGTTATCTGCCAAAATATCAAAGAATCATGTGCCGACTATCATGAGGACATGACCTCCGACTTATTTGAAAAGTGGATAGAGCAGCAGTTAATACCAAACATTTCCCCAAATTCAGTGATTATTATGGACAATGCGCCATACCATTCCCGACAGAAAAACAAAATTCCGAATACAGGCACAAAAAAACAAGACATTATTGATTTTATGAAGGATAAGGGAATGGAAATACCACAAAAATCAACCAAAGCCATATTATTGGATCTTATTAAAAGACAAAAATTTGAAAAAGAGTATGTTGTTGACAATCTGCTTCAGCAAAATGGCCATGAAGCATTAGGTCTACCTCCCTATTACTGCATTTTTAACCCGATTGAGTTGGTCTGGGCTGCTTTAAAAAAAAAAAGTAAGAAAACATAATCAGACCCCTCAATTAAGTGAATTGCTATTGGCCACAATAAGAGATGCAGTATCTTAAATTGCTGCCACAGACCTATGGAAGCAGTGTTCTAGGCATATTATTGAAAAAGAAAATGAATATTGTGTTTTGCCTCCTGTAAATCCCGTTGTAATTCCTCTACAAGATGACTCTAGCGACAGCTCCGAAGGCGAGGATGATATATAAATACCTATAATGTAAGTCTTTATATATCTTTTTATATACCTACCTGCTATGTAAATATTTGCCTATGTCAAACGTTGGAATTCTGCAATTTTTCCATTTCTTAACTTTCAGTCAACATAAATTAAACTCAAAATATAAGTATTTTTTATCCCAAATCAAAAAAATAAGAAGATAGTAAAATCCATTTATTGTGATATAAAAACATTATTATTATCGTTCTAAATAAATGCCGCACGCCTATGATACGTCATGAAATTACAAAGGACGCGCCGACCAAAGGTTTTTATGCTATTTCAAGTGACTTCAGATACATCATACTTACGTCAAGTCAAGCATGTTTGCAAGGCCTACTTAAAAAATAAACCAAGAAAAATGTAACATGTAATAATACATCGTTGAGTTCGTATAAAAAATTCTATTAGATGCAGGTTGTACTTTTTTCGGACCATATGATAAAATAAAGTTGATTTATCTAAACGAACCGCCAGGCACTAAATTTGAAAAAAATTATCACATTATCACGTACTGTCCAAAATCTGCCAATAGAAAAGTTTCATTAGTTTTTTTTTTATATTTCATGAAATAAATTCAAGAAATAAAAATGATTTGACCAAATTTTAGTTTCTCCCAAATATCTCAGTAAGCCATGAAATTTTTACAATTTTCTCAACGGCATATAAATACGCCACAAAGTTCGCAACTTTCTCCTAATTAAACTTAATCCCCCACAGGTATATCTTAGGCTCCCTGTATAGCACATCGCTAATTCCACACGAATTTAGTGTTCCACTTATTTTCTGCAAATCAAAGTGCACCTACATTGCCTGGACTATCAGACACTAGAGAAATATCGATGTTAATTAAGTACCACATGAGTTGGTATTTCAGTGTTGTTTCATTGGTATGAGTCTGATTCGAGTCAGAAAGAGCACCTGCATATGAATCAGAATTTAGAGTCATCGTGCTGTATCTCTCCAATGGTTCACCTCTTAAAGCTTATACATACGGAAAATATAGATAAACGTTGGGTAAGTACTTGTTCAGAGCGTCAAGAGAGCATATGAAAATGTTACCACTCACATTCAGGGTAATTTAATTATTTAACTGGCTTTTCCAAAAGACGGCGAAATACTCAGTAGTGCTTTGCATTTTGGTTTATTCGTATAACATGAGCGGATAAAACGATTTTAATTCGTTTTTCTTTTTACTGGTATGATGCAGGATTGTCAGAAATATAGTCTGTGACACTAGAAGTATTAGAAATCAAGAAATTTTCCTTCTGAAGGATAGGAAAAACTATGAAAATCAAGAAGACCGTAAAGGCGTTCTACAATTGTAGGAACGACTGACTATACGGCCCATAAGCGTCTTACGTAAATTTTTTCTTCATCTTTTGACATTTGTGACGTCCCTGATGAAATCAATTTGGATGTCATTGTAAAAGCAGAATTTCTGCGCCAGGGCTCACGAACATTAGGCTGGCATGCATAACACATCTGACCCTTGCATTACAACGTCTCAAACGCAGCAGTAGCGCAGTAATTCATGTAAATAAGACATCAATTCAGCCAGCTCGGTGTTTACAAACGCCACTGTCACACGCACAAGTCCTAAGTTTGAACCGGTGTCAATTGTTTTTAACTGTTTCGCGACCGGATCTAAATTGACGATAATGGGCAGATGGTCGTTGCACCAGATAGACTTATGATGCAAGTGGGTCCTCTTACAAAACAAACTCATTAAAGACCACTAGGAACCTGACCCTACATTTCTTGGAGTGATCAATCCATCTACAATTGACCAGAGTCATCTTGCTTACAAGCTAAAAATTGAAGCAGCAGTAAATGTTTTTCAAACTTCGAAACAAACCCTAGTCCATCGAAATAAGAACTCATCTATTGCCATCAGTGGCACATGTATAGATCACTGCTTTGTGAAAGACCTATCCAACAAAATTACTTGTATACCAATAATCCTAGAAAGCGATATTACTGACCACTTCTCCACTATTTTACTGATATCTTCAAATGAAAAACATTCTAACATCCCTACCGTTAATAACAACCAGGAAAATTACAAATTTTTTGTCGACAATTCAAAACTAATATCAAATGTCAAACAAGAATCCTGGGAACAATTATACTCTATAAATAATATAGACAAAGCAACGGGACTGTTCATAGAGAAAATAAAAAAACTAAAAGATATTAGTACCAATAAAGTAATAATTAGTCACAAAGAGAAAAGCAGAAATGCCTGGATTACCAAAGGATTAATAACATCGGCAATAGAAAAAGAAAAACTACATGTATATAATGTAATGAAACTAACGCCAACTACAGAGAATACCGACTGTTACAACCAATATAAAAATAAATTTATAGAGCTTGCAAGGCAAACCAAACGAAAACATTACCTGAATAAATTGAATAATAACTTAAATGATCCTAAGCGGCTTTGGACAACTATTGATGAGATTACTGGGAAAACAAAATTTAAAGAGTGTGTCACTGAGTTAAATACAACATCGGGAACAGTATTAAAAAATACTCAACAGATATGCGATGAATTTGTACAATTCTTTACTGACATAGGCGAAAATTTAGCAAGTAATATACAAGCAAATGTACAAAATACTCAGCCTCCAAAAAGAACTTTGAACTCATTTATTTTGGATAAAGTCGAACAATGTGAAGTATACACCACTGTTATGTCCTTAAAAAATCGGAAAAGTCCTGGGTTCGACGGTATTAAAAGCGAGCATTTGAAAATTATAGCCGAGGACATAACAGAACCACTCACTTACCTAATCAACAAATGCTTTGAATCTGGCATATATCCCTCAATTTTAAAAAAAGGTAATATAATACCGATACATAAATCAGGAACAAAAACAGATGTTAACAACTATAGACCAATATCAATAATATCCAGTGTAGCAAAGGTTTTTGAAAAAGTTTTATCTACTAGAATGATTCGATACCTCACAAAATTCAAAATTTTAACTGAAAATCAATATGGATTTACAGAAGGGAAGGCTACATCGGACGCAATAACTAAAATTGTAAATCAAATACATCAAAATATTGATAACAGAATCCCTTCAATCTGCATTTTTGTTGATTTAAAGAAAGCTTTCGATACAGTTAATCACAAATTATTATTAGAAGCATTGGAGAGAATTGGTTTCAGAGGAAACGCGT